CCCATTAGCCAACTGGAAAGAAAAAAGGTTTTTCCAGCTATGTCATTATTCACAGCCATGCTCTTTCAATCCTGTGCTGTCTGAAGAACTGAGCTAGTCACCCTCAGTTCTCTTAGAAACAAGGTTGGTTGAAGTTCAGTGCCTTCTAGGAAGAAGGAAGACCCTGATATCATCACAGATGTTGGTGCAAGCATGACTGTGCCTGCCTGGCATAGGTGTAACCCTGTATATTGTCTTCATCAATATGATTTACCACATGTGTTACAGCAGTGTCTAAGGGATCTAGCTGAAATCAAGGTTTCAGGCTTGAAACCTTTTTAGGTACTGAAGAGAAAGATACTGGGGATTTTTTTGCAGATACTTAAGTATATTAGAGTGAAACTAGTTGCTGCTGATTTTGAGCATTTCTTTGAAAGGTTTATTAAAAAAAAACCAAAACCGTAAAGGATCAGAGTCTTTGGTTTTGGACAGCTCAAATAGAAAATAATCAATCTCTCCTCCCTAAGAGGCCCCTAATGCCTCCAAGAGATTATGTTTCCGGGGGACATTTTGGCTTCTCCTGCTGTGGACCAACATCTCCTTATCTTAACGTTGCTGAGTGGAGACAGTGAGGACTGGGATTATTGGAGTCTAAAAAACCAAGAGTTTTTATATTATAAGCACACCTAGATGCTTGCAGAAAATAAATTACAGCATAAATGATATGAACAGATGTCATTTTTTTTGCTAATGTAGTTATTCATCCTGTATGTGCAGGAGCTTTTGAGAAAAGAATACGTTGCAATTTATTTTCACAGCAGAAGTGCACTGCTGTTTTTAGTGAAGAGCTCAATACATCTGCACACTGTGTTCCTCTTTGAGACTGCAACCTGCACTCTGTGCTATCATGAATTTAGGGGTGTCCATCACTGCTGAGTCCCCGGTAGTCACTTTGCTCAGAGTCCCTCTGCTACAGGCCCAGCCCTCATCACCTCTCACTTCTGATTCAGTTTGTCTTCCCTTTCCCACAGGCAGCATCCAGAGCATTTTGTAGGGAGTGCGCAAGCGTTGGGGAGCACCTGTGTGGATATGACTGAGGAAGAACCCCTCCATCCACATGCCCGCTCCTCTCAGCCCCGTGGTGTGCAAACTTATGTTAACTGCAAAACCCCTAGAGTTACCCACAGAAAGCCAGTCTCCTGTGACCCCTCTTGAGTGACCCTTTCTGGGTGATCGAGGAGATGTAACTGAGGAGCCAAAGGGCTTCTTCTTGCGCAGGTTTTTCCAGCTGCAGTGAGGGGGAGTGGATGCTGGCTGCATCCAAGCATCGCTGCCCTGAATATTGCGGAGAGGGTCAGGGCGCCCCTTCCCCAGCTGGGCCGGGCAGCGCTTCCCCCCGCCTCCCTGCATCCCTCCCCTCTCTCAGGGGCGGCTCTCGCCCCTGCATAAAGCCGGCGGGGCCGGGCGCTGCCCTGAGCCTGCCCCGGCCATGCACCCCGCGCCCTGCCGCGGTGCTTCCCTGGAGGCGGCGCCGAGCCCGCGGGACCCCTCCGGACAGGTGAGGGGAGAGGGATGGGCACGGGAGGAGCGGGATGCGCACAGGTGAGGGCAGAGGGATGGGCACAGGTGAGCGGAGCACGGGAAATGAGGGATGGGATCCTCTCTGCCCGGCCCCGGGATGGTTCCTGTCTTGCGGAGTAAACGCCGCTTTTTTTGGAGTCACAGCTCGGGCGCTTTGCTGTTGCCGTTCTCGGAATGGGGATTTAGGAAAAACTGGAGCTTTCCGGCCCCGGTTCCGTGGAGAGCGGTAACTGGAGAGCCCCGCGGTGGCAGCGTTCAGTGCCGCTGGGATTGGGATGGAACTGCTGTTTCTGGATAAAAGAGGGGGAAAAAAATCTCAAAGCGTAAATGCGAGCATATGAAATTACGGTAGAGCAAAAGCAACTTTTGGTGTATTATTGCTTAGGAGACAGAGAGTGTGATATAGCGTGAATGTGAAAAACTCACTCCAGGGATATTCCACATTATAGTGGGAATTTGCTTAGTGCATCAGAGATCAGATAAAAGCAGCACTTATGCATTGTCTGCAGTTACTGATACTGTGCAGTTGATGAAGTCTATAAAATTCCTTGTGAAGACAAGAATGCTGACAGTAATGGAGTAAAGTTTCACAAAAATACTGCTTTGCTGTATCTCTCAGATACCTGGAAGGTATTCCCTCAGAACCTGCTCAGCACAACTTTTGGTTTGGTGTTTGAGAGCTCAGTCTTAGGAAGAACTTTGGTGTGGCTGGAAAACATAATGTGATACCTAGTTGTGGTCACTCCTAACATCATGTGTTCACCCTTCCCTAGAAGTGTGTCAAAAGGACAGTGACAAAGTAAGCAGCTACCTAAAGGGAAGAGGATATAAAAGACCCATTGACATTTTTTATTAATCATTATTAATGTCAATCAATATAAAATAGGTTGAAAATAATTTTTCATCTTCAATTTATGGTTCTAAAATGTAATATTTTTTTGGCAAATATGTTTGGATGATTTTAAATCCTGATTATCCATTAATATAAAGAATTAAAGCCCAAAATATGCACCCTCATATATCTTTCTCTCTGTGAATATCCTTTGGGGAGAGGGAGAAAGGGAAGATAATTGCTATGGGTCCCAAAAAGTGTGATCTTTGACCAGGCAGCACCTAATTATCTATCTAAATAAAGACTTTAGAATATCCCAGTGTTTGTGAATTTTCATCGAGGCTGAGTCAGGTTGGTGGAAAATCAGTGAATGATTTGCATCATTAATTAAAAAAAAACAACAATGCGATATTAATTCTTCCTTCATCCTCCAAAAAGCTCAAACGTGTTACCATGCAAAGGGAAAGTGTCAGATTTTATTAGAGTTGGGTTGCTGATAGAGAATAAAATGTAAGTGAAGTGAAGCCACTGGAGGAGAGGGATTGTTTATGCACTACCATTTTCTCCTGTTGCCTTGCACCCAAATGGTTGCTGCATTACTGTCTTTGGTTAAATTTTTAATTAAAACAAAAGACTAACTTTGGTTTTGGGTAAAATATATAAATGGTGTGCATTTGGTATTGTAAGCATCTCAATTTTTCTTGTCCAATTTGTAAGTTAGAGGTCATTTCTAGAGCTTAGTATAAGAATATTGTATGTTTTATTGTATTTTCTGCATTGATCTCTTAAACACATAATCTTGTAGATGTTGACACCTGATCCCAGACAAAGTATAAGTTGCAGCAGCAAAATAAAAAAGAACAGGATTAGTTTTTGGTGCAGGTAGTCTGTCCCAGCTGTGCACCTTATAGCATTGCAGGCAACTGTGCCAAATCTCAGAGGCTGAGCCAAGTCAATGATCCTGAACGTGGAGTCAAGCCAACATGCTGCATATTAGCCTCTTCTATAAACCAGCCCTACATTTATTGCCTTCAAAGACCACCACCTAATTCTACTTGTAGTGGAGACTTCTTTGCACCCAGCTTCTCTTACAGCAGGATCATCTGAAGAGGGTTTGGCTCACAACAAATGGCCTCTCTGCACTAGAGGAAACAACCAATGACCTGGATGTAATTGTGGCATTTGTGGCTTTTTATTTTCTGCTTGAAGTGCCTTTGCTCAGCTGCTGTTCCTGGCTCTTGTCATCATTTGACACTGAAGTGAGCTGGGAAAACTTCAGGCTGCTCAGCTGAATCTGTACTGGGCTTGTCATACACTTTTAGCAGAAAATCTAATGTCTGGACTCAAGCTGAGAGAGTTCATTGACTTTGGTGGATTAGAAACAGTGTCTGACACTGTTGTCCAGGCTCATTGTATGGTGGCAACTCATTAGAAGTGAGAATCCAGTCAGAAATCCAAATATTTTCATTACATCATTAAAGTTTGAGAGACTGTATAAGGGAATCAAAGGAACTGGTATATTTTGATTGCATTTTTGTTTTGCTATTTTAATTTCTGAAAATGTCTCAAGATAGTGATATCTTTAAAGCTGTGTCAGATCAAAATATAATTCCAAATGGCAATAATGTGCCATCATTGTTCCTCCCCTCTTTGTCGCTGACTCATTCAGAAACCTTGCCTTTTATTCTTTCTTTTTTTGCAAGGTTTGAAGACATATGAGGGACAGCCTCTGCTCATAAGCCTTGTATTTTTTTGTTACTTTGCATTTTCCCCATTTTTTACTGTTTCAGCATTATCTCTATTTATGGCCTGGCTATATGTAGCTAAGAATATGGTCTGTGATAGCTGCTGATTTCCACACAGTCAGGAGTGTTGATCACTAGTGAGTTACAAAAACCACTTGGTCTGACAGTGTGGGGTGTCTGAACTTTTAGTGTGTGATTTGGGTGATTATGCCAAGGGTTTGAGACACAAATGAGGGGACATGGCAGATGGAGCAGCTTGGCTGTGGTTCATCAGAGTGGGACTGTCTTTTTAGCCAGCAGGTTCTGGTCAGCAAAACATTTTGCCTCCTTAGTTTTGTCTCCTTGCCCTATGAAAACAGTGTTTTACAGTTATGTAACAAGAGAGAGGCAGTGATTTTTCAGTTCTGATCTACTGAATCCTGTTTAATCTTTTCCTACCTATGTCCTGCGGGATTTGGATTATTCCCTTTGCCAGTGTTCATTGAACTTGCTAACAAATGTTTTGTTCAATATACTATTTCTGCTGACATCTTATTGCTCCCTTTCCTCCCAGTAGCAATGCTACTTATAAACTATACATTGAAAATATTTTCTGCATCCTGGGGAATAACTAAAGATGTCCATAAAATCATTCAACTGACAAAAAGATATCTTGGTATTTCAGTCTCTCACAAATTCTGTCCATGACTAACTTTATTCCTATTATTTTCTAATAATTTAATTCGTAATTTTCCCTTTGTTGTTGATTGGTGATCAAAGCGCAGCATTACCCCAAGACACCCTGAAATGTAAAAACTTACACTTTTTGCACTTCTACCTATTCAAACAATTTTTGTTTGTTTGTTTGCATCTAGTTAAATAAGTCTGTTTACATGATGATTGAAGATAACAAAGAGAATGAAGACCATGCATCTGAAAGAGGAAGGACAGCCGTCATTTTTTCCTTGAAGAATGAAGTTGGAGGACTTGTAAAAGCATTAAAACTCTTTCAGGTGTGTATGTTACCACCATATAATCATCACAGCAGTTCTGCATTTTTAAATAGTAAGGATAGTTTTGGAACACACTAGAATTAATTACATCCATTTATTATGGATTTGATTCTTAACCTGACTCCCACTTTGCACCCAAAATTTCCCATGAAGGCGAATGTATGCCTCAGAAATTAGGTGATGGATGGTTAAAAATCTTATCTGCACTGACTAAACACTGAGAGATGTTTGTCTTTTCCCCTCATGGCAAGAGGACTGGCACTAGATGTTTTTTCTGGGAATAAGAGGTGGTCTGAAGCCCCTGCTGATGGCAGGTAGACACTTGGGGTGTTGATCTGTACTGTGTTGAGTCCAGTGTCCTTGTCACACTGCCAGCCAGACCAAAGGTGGCAGAGGAGCTGCAATTGCACAGCTGATGGTCAGGTGTTGTGTGAGGAATATGTGCAGCACCACTGCTCTCTGGTGTGTGGCCCTGTGTGTTTTAGCTTGGGGTTTTCTAAATGTTCCTAATATAAAACACATTATTAAATAATTTTTCAGATTAAAGAAAAGTGAAACTAATGTCCTGAAAACTACTGCTTTAAATCCCTTGCTTGCTTGTGAGATAATTATATGGTGACTTGATTGGCATTTTAGTGGATTTTGCTAATCAGCTTCCTATGGGGAGGATGAAAGAAAAAAGTCTATGAATTCAAATCTCCTGACTGTGTCTTTATGTGCTTCCTGAATGTAAATAAAACTGAAAGAACACAGGTTCTCTTTCATTTTCTTCTGAATAGAAAATCAAACCTTTTCCCCCCTTCAATAAGCAAACTGCTATCAAGAGATCCAATTAGCTTAAACAGCTTCATAGAAGTGGTGAAGAGTTCATGGCAGTAGCATATTAGTTTGAAAAACTATTGTAACTTTTAGTCAATTGTTTTTAGCGTATCTCTTTGAGAACATTACTTCTTACTGAACAGGAGAAGCATGTAAATCTGGTACATATTGAGTCACGGAAGTCCAAGAGACGAAATTCTGAGTTTGAGATCTTCGTGGACTGTGACAGTAACAGAGAACAACTGCATGAGATCTTCCAGCTCCTGAAATCCCATGTCAATGTTCTGTCTGTGAGTCCAACAGAGCATTTCAATGTCCAGGAAGATGGTAGGTACAAAAGGCAGTTGTGATGAAAACTTCCAAATGTGTTGGTTTGAAATCCTTTCATGGTTGTCCACACCTACACTTGTGTAGTGTCTTCAGGCACTTGCTACCAGGTACCTGTTTCTGTGTTAGGTGTGAATGTAGTCTGGCTGTCACCTGGAAGTTCAGGCCGTGCCAGGCTGCTACAAATAGTGTGTCTGCTGTCTGTGCTCCTGCCCCTTCCCAGCACAGCCCAGCTGGTGCCAGGGGGAGTCCTGCATCTGTGCAGGTCAAAGCAGGCTGGCCTCCAGACAAAGTCTGAGTGCAGGGCTCGAGTACGCCATGGTGGCAGAGGCGTAATACTGACAGATCCCAGTTCACTTCAGACACTGGGGAGAGTGGAAGATGGATTCTGTAATTTCCTTATTTAATTCTTGATTTTGTTATCTTTTTTACCCATTTTTAATCATAACTAGCTAGTTATATTAGTATGACAGAGGCGCTTTCTACCTTTAGATCCTACATGTGTTTACCTTTAATTAAAGAGATGCCTAGAGTTCAGGGCAGCGGGAAGCTGGTCCCAGGTATTTCTCAGTCACTGTTCTTGGGAAGGTGAGATCTGGAGTTCTTGGATAAAATGGCTTACTTTAGCCCTAAGTAAGGGAAAATTCAATCTAAACTGTCTCCTGACCTTTTTTAAGTAAACTGAAGAGCATTGAGGCAGAAAAACAGTGTATTAACTGCTCTGCCAGGAGCTTGGCAAAAACTCTTTTAAGCTAAAAATAACCCCAAAGCAGTTGGTAACAAAACTATAATGATGCACCTCTCTCAGGCAGCAGAGCCTGCTGTTCCTCTTCTCCCCCAGGCCCCTCAAGGCAAAGCTGGATGCTTCCCATATACATAACCACAGAGAAACATCCATTTCCCATGGTCAGTAAAGCAGGATGAGAGGACTCTAACCTGCTCCCACTCTGCCCAGGGAACCACAGGCAAATCGCTTCCATTCTCCTTCGCGCTCTTTATGCTCTACAAGATTCCCTGCAGCTGTACACAGGGAGACCTTGTCTCCACGGGATCCTCTAGATGCTACTCTAACTACAGCAGAGAAACCCACGTTAACTTTCCTTCCCAGAGGCTCTGGGGCTGGCTGTGCTCTACAGCCAGACTGTGGCAGTGACCGAGGAGGAAGTGTGAGCTGGAGGCTGGTGCCAGATAGGCAGAGGACTCTCTTGTCTTATTCATGCCTCCTTAATTTATAGAGTGAGCTGTAACTGCCATAGCTATACTTGAAAGTAGCGTTTCCTCCCTTGGTGTGCTTGGTGTTATTAATAACCTTGTGGATTCCATGCCTTCCCTAGACATGGAGAATGTTCCCTGGTTTCCGAAGAAGATCTCAGATTTGGATAAATGTGCAAACCGGGTGCTGATGTACGGGTCTGACTTGGATGCCGACCATCCCGTAAGTGCTTTTCCCTCCCTACACCCAGTCCGTAGTTGGAAACATACTCGGTGGAGCTGACCTAAAAAAACTGTAGCTTTTCCTCCTCCCTCTTCTCTCTCTCAATGGCATCTTTGAGGGTCTGGGCACCTTCTCTTGAAGATTTCATGTATCTCTCTTTGTTCAGGGAAGACTGACTGAATTCAGTTCCTGTGTTTTTCTGCACGGTTTACTTGTGTAAGAACTCCAGGTCTGGGCCTTGAGTGGTCACATACAAATAAAAGAAGCTAAAAAAAAATGCTATTTTGAGGCAGGCTTTCTTCCTCCTCTTTCTTCCTTACTGGAGAAACCAAATCGGTATTTCAGCAGTGAAAATGGGAAATTTGTTTTGTAATTTTGAATAATCATGCAAATAACAAACTTTGTGTAAATACTGATATGACTAAAATGAATCTTTCTCTACAGAATATATAGTTGCACAAACCAGATGATTCTTACTTTGGAATATTTTCTTACTTCATATTCATTAAACATTTCAGACTACAGCTGTGGGTTTCCTACCCTCTCCTTTCATTCTTACACATCACACTTTTCCATTCTCCAACTGAAGAAATGCCAAGTATCCTGTTATAAATTGATTTATTTGTTATGGCTTGGAAACTCATTGAACTGTTTTCCTTTCTCCCCACCAGGGTTTCAAAGACAATGTCTACCGCAAGAGGAGAAAGTATTTTGCAGACCTGGCTATGAACTACAAACAGTAAGCTTGAATTCTTCCAGAAGAAGCCTTCTAGATGCTCTGAAATACTAGCAGAGTGGACTGTGAGGAGCTCACCTTCCTGGGCTCACATCAGGCTGAGACATGCAATTTCAGCTCAGGAATGAGAGCAAAGGAGGTGAAAGGAAGGGAGACGTAAGGCAAGATGAGAAGGTAGAGTGAGGCAGGTCTGGTCAATCTGAGGCTGTGTGGCGTGGCCAGCTGCTCTGCAAAGGAGAGGGAGGGGAGGCAAATCCCAATATACAGCCCAGTGACAACTGAGAATAAACTTTCTGAGCACTTGAATTTTCTTTCCTGGTTCAAACTGGCATGTGTGATGTGTAGATAAGAAGATTCCTGTGAAAAGAAATTCTAAGAGTTTCTGTCTTTAGAGCTGCTACTTGGTGGGGGGGTGGAGCTCTTAAAGCAGTAAGACTTTCATAACTCAGTGCTGTAAATTCTTTCAAAATGTGATTTTCACGTGGCCTGATTGAATTTAGGTGTGAAATTCCTCAAATGAAAATGACCTAGAAAAGGTCTGTATTTAAAATATTTTAAAGTGTTTAATGCAACTGGTTACTACAGTCCTGAGTTGATTACTGTTAATGTGTTGTTGACAGTGATTCATGGAAAGAATTTTCCATGCCAGTTCCCTGGCTGGCAGTGGAAATGCAGTGTAACACTGCCCTTGCCAAAATCCACTTTATTCAAGGTCCCGAGGACTAAATAGTAAAGAAAGACTAAAATTAATATGCCCAGACAAGCACTTGTGTCCTCTGCACAGAAGCATGATTTTTACCTGATGTGTATGTTTAGCTGCTGTCACACAATATGTTGTTAATTTAGGGAATTCTCTTTTCCTAAAACAAATTAAAAAGGTAACAGAAAATAATTGCAGACTTAGAAATCCAACACTGAAAAGGATGTGTTAACAGCTCCTGAAGCTGTGAAGAGATTATGTAGGTATTTTAAACCTTACTCTTGGCATTAAACAATTAAGAAACTGTTTACAGAACCAACACTTAAAGTGAGGTCAATGCAAAGATTCCTGACAACTGTTTCAAGTCAAAAAAAAGACAAGTCCTTAGACTAAAAGATTTCCAGGACATAGACCAGATCTCACTGTGTATTTGACAGAATCTAGTGTCAGGTGTCACAGTCATAGAGGTGTTAAATACTAATAGTAGGTAATGGAGTCACCTCTTATTAGCCTTTTACTAAGGAGTGTCCTTTCTTCCTCTTCTCCTTGCAGTGGTGACCCAATTCCCAAGATTGAATTCACTGAGGAGGAGATCAAGACTTGGGGAACTGTGTACCGAGAGCTTAATAATCTTTACCCAACTTACGCCTGTAGAGAGTACCTTAAAAACCTACCCTTGCTCACCAAACACTGTGGGTACAGGGAAGACAATATCCCCCAGCTGGAGGATGTGTCCCGCTTTCTGAAAGGTAATGTGCTGGTTTTCTAATTGTTTCTAATTTTCAGAATAAATGGAGGTCCACTGCAAATCCCACTCTTTTGTGGGCACAAAGAAACATCCTTGGTGACTTGTATTCATTCTGGTCCTTTAAGAGGCCTTTTGGCCATCTGTGTTTTAATGTATTGTGTCTTCAATGCATGCAGTGACATTTGAGAGGCAGTGACTGAAAAGATTGTTAGGATTGGCTAAGGAGATACCTGGCTGTATTGTTGACTCAAGGCATGGAATCTTAGGGAATCCATTGGCACAGAGGTAGGGCCATTTTAAAAAATGCTGCTCATTCTCAAGCCTAGGCCTAATTTTTATAATTGTGCCTCATTTTCCTGCAGGCTTTTGAGCTAAGGTAGTGCCATAGCTGTCACCTCAGTTCCAGCAGGAAAGCTGACATCGTTGTGCATCCAATGCTAAACTAATTCACAGTTTCTCTGTTCACTTTCAGAGCGCACAGGCTTCACCATTCGCCCTGTTGCTGGATATCTGTCTCCCAGAGATTTCTTGGCAGGATTAGCATTCAGAGTTTTTCACTGCACTCAATATGTCAGACACAGCTCGGACCCTCTCTATACACCAGAGCCGTGAGTCTTTTAATCTTGTGGTAGAATTTGAGAGAAAGTTTTGAAACTTGCTTGCCCAGAGCCAAATCACTGAAAACCTGTTCAAGAACACCAGCATAAAACTTATTTTTAAGGTGTTGAAGACTCAGCCTTCACACTGAATGTAGTGAAGTTGCAGCATGCTGAAGTGCCACCTTTGTAAGTGCAGGATTTTCAAAAGTATGGCATGTTATTGGAGATGTCTTACTGATATTACTGTGTGCAGGTAGTTTAATATCCAGTTGCCTTACAAATGGGGAGTTCAGACCTTAATTTTAGCACTTTCATTTGAAAATCTGATTTTATGCACTTTATATAGGGTCAGTAGGACCTGCTCAGTTGCTTTCAAAGAAAGCAGAAGAAATTTTCTGTCATTTGGGTAATAAAGTTTAATGAAAGACATTGTATCTGTTCAGTGGTGCTGCTTTCTCATTTTGCTACAAAGAAAAATCATGAGATTTCTTTTTTTGTTTCTTTTTCCAGTGATACCTGCCATGAGCTCCTAGGCCATGTCCCTCTTTTGGCTGAACCCAGTTTTGCTCAGTTCTCCCAGGAAATTGGTCTTGCATCACTTGGGGCATCAGATGAGGCTGTCCAAAAACTGGCAACGGTTAGTGTTTGAGTGTCTGGGGATTCCATCAAAAGCTTTGTGCTTTACTAGGCTGATCCCATGCCATCGAATAAATTTGGAGCTTCATGTCAATGTTAGCCACACCGGCTGCTATATCTATGTGTTTCACTGGTCCCTGAATTTTAAAGCATGAAAAAACTTTCCATGCTAGGAAAAAGAAACACTTTAAAGTTGATATGACTGGTATTTTTCTTACTCTACTGTCAAATAATGGTTCAGCTTCAAGTGGTAGATTACTCCTTGCAGACTGAAATTTTATGGGCTATTTCTTTCAGACAAAGTTTTCTTTCTTCTGGGGAACATGATTCAATGATTTGAAAGTGTTCTATTTCCTTAATGTGTAGAATGACTTGGAACTATATGGTATTGAATGTGGTGAGCGCTAGCATTAGATACTTTTTAGTCAAGAAATTAAAATAATATGAACTAAACTAATTTTCTGGATAGCAGTCTCTGGATGCCTTGGCAAGAGTATTTTAAGATTAAAAGTAAATTTAGATGAAAAATAATTGGTACCAGTTACGCAAGAATTAGCTCGCTGATTTTTAAAATTTCTTTTCCCATCTCATGTAGCTAGAGGTAAAATTTGTACTACCTTCAGGGGGAGCAGAACTAAGCCATCTATGAAAACGGTGTTCCTTCCTGTATAGCTGCAGAAATCCTGAAATTCGGTGAACTCAATTCGGTGTCTTTAATTTTACAGCACACTGAGCAAATGAGAAATGAACTGCAGCGGGCTGTTCTTACTCACTCAGAGATCCTCTCTATCCAGCGTTCATTTTAAGTTGTGATTTCATGTCAGTATTTTGCAAAACAGATTTACACCTCAGTGTTTGCACTGGCATTAGCATCTTCCAGCACAGCTGGATGATCTATAACATCCGCCTTTATTATGAGAAACATGCTGTCCTTCATCCTTCCATTCTGGCTTTCTTCCTCTTTATATATATCTGTGGATAACTGAGTGATAACTACCTGGTATTTGCAACTATTTGATGCTACCTACAAATAGAAATGCTCCCATCCGGTTCCCCACAGCATCTTTGATGAAGGCTGAATTGTTTTACTTCCTTCTCTATTTCAGTGCTACTTCTTCACGGTAGAGTTTGGCTTGTGCAAGCAAGAGGGACAGCTGCGAGTTTATGGAGCTGGCTTGCTCTCTTCGATTAGTGAGCTCAAGGTAAGAATGGCTACTGCTTGTTTGCCTCTTTTCTTTGTACCTCATTATTATTTCCACTGTTTCCCCCTGCTTTTTATGAAGTATAATTCCTTGATGTTGTAGTTTAGGTAACTATTTTCAGATTAAAGCTTTGTTGGTTCAGCCAGATTCTGAAAATATTGCTCTTGTTTATACACAAGCCTCGTGTCTGTGGAGTCCCTTTTCTCACGCAGGCTGGCAGAATATGACCCTTCAGAATAATTAAGTTTGTTAAGTGTTAAACACCGTTCACTTGCAGATAAAACTTTCAAGATGCAATGCATTAAAATTATCTCACATAATCCTTTTTATTCATTTTATCACGTCATCTTCCCCCTGAATTCTTGGATGGTGATATTCCTCTGGCCCATGATAACACGTTACCAGCACTCACTCTCTGACAGTGCCAAAGTCAAGCCCTTTGATCCGAAGGTCACCTGCAAGCAAGACTGTCTCATTACAACTTTCCAGGAGGTTTACTTTGTTTCTGAAAGTTTTGAAGAAGCAAAGGAAAAGATGAGGTACAGATTCTGCCCCCCTCTCCTACCCGCTTCTTTTCATAAAAGCAGATTTGGTTTTGTATACCTCTCTGTAGCAGCACCAAACCCTTTTATTCTTATCACAGTTTTTAAACTATTTTTCCACAGTATTCAAATTTTGGTCAGTATTTCCTTGATCTTTCAGGTACTGGGTGAGAGATTATTAGGACTATTTTAAAGTAGTTTAGAAAAGAGGGTATTGATACTGGCTGCATATGCAGAATGTGTTTGTGCTTTATGTCTTGTTTATAACACCCTCTTTTAGTTATAACACACTTTTTATTCTTTTTTTTTAATCCCAACAGAGAGTTTGCAAAAACCATCAAGCGCCCCTTTGGGGTGAAGTACAATCCCTACACTCAGAGTGTGCAGATCCTGAAAGACACAAAAAGCATTGCCAGCGTGGTGAATGAGCTGCGCCATGAGCTGGACATTGTCAGCGATGCCCTCAGCAAGATGGGAAAGCAGCTGGAAGTTTAACACCCTGTCAGCACTGTGGTGCAAGCCAATTCTTCCCTTCTCCCCACTGATTTCTTTCTAGGCATATAGTGTGTTGCATGCAGAACTCCTTTACACATGGAAGAGTGAATGGCCCTTAAGAAAGACTATAACAATTTTGTCTTGTTGCTCTCTGTAAATTTCCTCACATAAATGCGTTCCTCCACCCCCCTTAGGTAAAAAAAGGTCCAGAGTTTCCTTTTAGAAGCTTGTAGGGGAGCAGAGCAATTGTTAGACTGGAGAAAAAGTGTGGTCTGTGGATCAGGGCTGGGATCAGATGCTGCAGGAGGTGGCTTATGAGACAAAAATGATGCAATTCACCCTAGGGAGAATTAAATTTCTGACTTCAGCAGTCTATGCTACTGATTGTATGGGGCTGAAGACTTGACAGTGTAGAAGCTGTGGTAATTCAGTGTTTCAAAGTCTGTGCTACTAAGTTTGAAACTTGAATGATTACAATGCAGGCACCAGGACACAAATAGCTGGAGGTTCAACATGGTAAAAGGGAGCGGTCAAATCTTGCTTTCAAAGGGATTATTCTTGCCACAAAGAGTTGCAAATGTGCTGTTTGGCCTGCTTCTAGTATAAGGCAGAGATACAGCTGTTGCATGAAAACCTAACTACATTTATTTTAAGCAATTTGCTATTGGCTAAGAGTCAGGATTTTTGTTGCTGTCCTTGATATTGCACCTGAGGGAAGACCTTTCCTTAGAGAGGTACCATTTGCCTTTTTCCTGATCGAATTAATTTAGCAAAAAATACAGAAAGCAATGAAAATACAATACAGCATTGACTTAGCATAAAGCCTAAAATCATTTCCAAACTGCAACTTCATATTCAAAATAACTTAATTGGCTCTAAAAGAACATCAAAGTTTTAAATAACACGTAAAGGTCATAGACCAGTGTGCTTTATGTAAAAATAAATGTCCTGTTGATTGCTGAGCCACTTTTTTGGCCTGCACAAGCTGCACAAATATACATTTAGTTTCTTCTTTACCTGGCCACCTTCATTTCCTATCAATCAAACTACAACTGAAAGGCCCAAGCATTTCAGGGGAATTTTGTGGTTATGAAGGCAACAAATTCCCTTGTAGTGTAAAGCATGCCTGACTCCAAAGAGCGCTTTAGAAGTGTTGGGAAGCAGTGTACTGCTGAATTGTCTGCATTGCCTGCGTTGAGGGTCCCACTGTTCCAAGCATCCTGCAGAGCTGTGCAAAGCTTCTGCTGCCCCTGTCCTGGCCTGGACATGTGTGCAGGTTGTGAGACATTTGAGGGGGGGATCTGTGATGTCCAGGGTGTATTTAGCAGCACCCTAGGCACTGGGTTTTTTCATGAGTAGATCTTATGAGGAAATTTAGAAAGTGCACTGGAAGAATGGTCTGAAATCTTAAACACACTGGACATGCTAGTCCAGGATTTTGAGAACTTGAAAGGACTTTCATGAAACATCTGTGCTTGAAAATTAGATTGAGTTCCATATGCTTTCTAGTAGGATACCTCTGCTCCATAAGCAATTGCCAGGCCAACCTCTCGAAGAATACTCACTGTTTAAATCAAGACTAGATAGTTTTTTATGTGGCTATTAACCCACTATAACTTCGTTTTAAAGAGCATCTAATATGTAGAATTATGGTCTACAACATTAATGGCTTGCATTATACTTAATTTAAAAATAGATTTTAGGAACTTTGTCTTTCTAAAGAAGAAACCTTCCTCTAAGTGAGTAGTAAGGGATGATTTGTTTTGTCTGCTTCTGTGATAACAGTTAATATTCAGCTACAGTTTTAACAATATTGGATTTATGATGTTATTGAAATATACATAGTCGGCGCTACTTCAAGCCTTGTCTGAACTATGTATACATTTCTTAAACTTGTTAAATTGGCAGTTACTTTCAAATACTTCGTAAAAACAGCAGTTGTATCTTTATTTGCATTTGTGTAGCAAAAGAAAAAGTAAACTGCTAGAAGTAACACCGAGAGACTGCACCTCGCGTCACTAACAACGTGTGTTTGGCTTCACCCATCCAAACCTTCTGTAACATGGTGACAATTTAAGTACTTTAAACCACTGTGGAAGCTTAAATGTCAACGAAATAAAGGAGTTGCTGGTAATTATCAGAATCACCGAAGCCCTTTACTTCGGCACCTTAGCAATAAACATGAGAGGAAAGCTCATGTCTGTATAAACAATTTGATGGTATAAACGTCTTTGCAATGGGTCCCAATGTCCCTGCTGGCTCTGGGCAGCGGGTTCGTGGCAGAGCCCAGGCAGCCGGCACAAACAAGGGAATGCACAGCCTGGGTTTCTGAGCTTTGGGGTAAAACAGTAAGTTCAAGGGGGAATATGTGGAATAGGCGGCTCGGGAAGGCTGTACCTTCCTAGTGCCTCAGCCAGTGGGGAAAGGAAGAGGGCAATATGTGGCCGGGAATTAGGCTAAAAGAAGGCTGTTCCTTCCGAAACCCTGAGAGAGAAAACCCCGCATCTCTCTCCCTTTATTCGGACAAAGTCGCAGGACTCCTCTGTCTCCCTTTTTTTGGACATAAACCTCTGACATTTGTGGATTTTCCTGGCAGACACGAAGCGCTCGCTCGCGGCTGGCCCTTCCCTGCCCGGTTCAGGCTCTGCCCGCCCGTGATCCCGCCCCGTGCCCGCCCCTTCCTGCCCGGCCCGCGGGCGGCGGGAAGCGCCGGGAGCCGCCGGCCCCATGCCATGGAGCCCCAGCTGTTCGCCTGGGTGAGTGGACCCTCGGCACGGTCCGGAGGGCCGGGATCTCCTGCTGTCCGGGGGCGGGAGGGTGGCAGAGCCGCTGCTCGCCCTCCCGGGATGCTGTGGCGCTCGGCCCGGGGGAGCGGGGCCGCGGTGTCCCCGCCCCGCAGGGAAACAACGCCGCGGTTCACCTGGTGGGCACAGCGGGTCTGAGAGCCGCGGAAGGGACATCCCTCACGCTGGGCAGCCCCATTTGCTCCGTTGGTGCCGGCTCGCCCGCCCGGGCAGGGCGGCTGGAGCGGTGCTGGCGTTGGGATAGCCTCGTGTGGCTCTCGGCCCCTCGGGTCCTTCTGCGCCTTATCGCGGCTTGCCTGGTTTTGAAGGCTTGAAAATTCATTGCGAGTTACAGGCTAAAACGGGAGGTTGTGACACGTCTTTTTAAAAATAATTACGCTTGTACGGCAGTACCACGCTCTAAAGCGCCTATCTCCCAGCAGCTGTGGCTGTGGGACAGCGCCTCGATGTGCCCGCGCAGCTCCGCTGCCGACAGCTCATCCACCCGCAGGCTCTGGGCTGGGCCGAGCGGCCTGGCGAGCCTGCGTGAAGCGGCGGTGTTTCTGTGGCTACGAAACGTTTGTCGCTGAATGCGGCCTTTTATTGATTTAGTTTCGGGAGAGGTGGAGGGAAAATTGAGAGCAGATGGGCGGGGGAAGCACGGGCGAAGTAGGGAAAGTATTTCCCAGGGATCACTAGCTGGGAACATTGTGGGTATGGAGTGTTGCTGTTACTGCGCTGTGTGGGATGGGGAAGGTTATGGTATCTCTTTTTGTGACTGAGAGTTGAACTGTTGGACGCAGAGCTGAAGTTGACTAAGAAATTCCCTGACTTGTTACCATGTTGACAACTGCTGCTTTCCATGGTGTGTTTAGTAGCTATAGTTTTATACCTGTTAATTTATACTGCCTATAATTGCTATAGTTTCATTTGGACCTCTTAATTTAAAACACTTAATAAATGAGGTGTAAATGTTTCTGATTTACTTGTTTAGGTTCCAGAGCAAGGTAGCATGTCTTTCTGCTCTCATTTTGGAGGTAGCCTGCCAGAAAGCAGTGGCATGAAAAAGATCTTAGTGATGAGTGGGAATCATTAGCATTATAATTAAACATGTGGTAATCATCCTGATAGAAAGGTTTTCCTTCTTATTAACTGTGAGCCTGCAGTTAAAGTCTTAACAGGTTGTATTAAAGTACTGGGGCTGCACAGACACCCTTAACTATAACGAAGTTGGGACACTCCTGGTCTGTAATCCTGGGAATCAGGGGATTTTTAGGAGCAGGTTAACCCATGGCGTATCCCAAATATGCTTGTTTGTCCCTGGGAGCATATGTGTGCTTCTTTTGATAACTTTCAAAAAAAAAAGTGTTATTTTTCTGTGTGCTTTTGAAGGGTGCAAACAGCTATGGACAACTTGGTCTTGGTCATAAAGAGGATGTGCTGGTTCCTCAGGCCCTGAAAGGTGTTTCCTGCAAATGTCAAGACGTTGTAAGCATTGCTGGAGGAGGGGGACATTCTGCAGTTATCACTGGTAAAAACACGGCTCTTGCTCGGGGTGTTTGGCTTTTAATAGTTTTTTTTTTTTTGGTGTGCTTCCCTGTTGGTTCAGTGCTGCCACCTCTCTGTGGCTGCTGTTTCTGAACAAGTACAATCCTTAGTTGCAAATCAGCTGCCTCTACTCCCTGCTAACTCAATATTTGGGGAAATTCCTGTTGCTTATATATTGTGTGGTCACTTTGTGGCAGTGTGGGGACTGTTTCTTCAGCTGTTTCTTTCGTACAGAGAAGCTAAATTTTCTGTATTGAGGATGGGGAGTGGGAAGGGGGACTCAGAGGTTATTCAATCTTAAGAAGTGTTAAGGTAAGGACTAGGACATAACATCTGGCCCTTGAAGGGTTCTGCTATATGCCACAGCTAATTGTGGTAAAGAAGGAATACAGACAGATGTGGACATGATAAAAAAGTTTATCTTAAATGATAAGCGTTATCTTAATTGATAAGATGCTTTATCAAGCATTTTAGTGTGAGAGGTGCCTATCTTAACATACACATTGTCTCCCTTGACAGACTCAGCTCTCCATAGCTGCAATTACTCAGAGGTGTTTCTGATGCATCAGAAACAACTGTTTCTCTTACTTTTTATTTGATTGCAGTGCCTAAAATGACACATAATCACTGTCCTTGTTTGTCACAGGATGTAACACATGTAGGTTTCTCTTTTTAGTCTGTGAAGTGGAATGCAATTTGTTTTTGTTTTTGTTTTTTTTTTTTCTTCCAGGTACAGGACAACTCTTTGTATGTGGCCACAACCAAAATGGGCAGTTGGGATTGAATCACACAGAGGATGTGCTCTGTTTTACTTTGTGCACTGCCCTGTCTGGCTTTTGTGTGAAACAAGTTGCATGTGGCTGGGATTTTACAATCATATTAGTAGGTAAATCTATCTCTCTAAGAGCTGAAGAAATATCTTGATGTAGCAAATATGCTGAAAGTTCCAAAATGCTATTGCTTGTGTGATTTGAGGGATCTGGACAAGTTTGAGAAGAGGTACACGGGAACCTCAGGAAAATCAACAAGGTTAAGTGCAAGGTGCTACACCTGAGTCAGGACAGCTCCCGGTATCAACAGAGGCTGGGGATGAAGGGATGGAGAGCAGCCCTGCCCAGAAGGGCTTGGAGGTGCTGTGGGTGAGAGGCTGGACATGACCCAGCCATGGACACTCCCAGCCCACAGAGCCGAATGTGTCCTGGGCTGCATCCAGAGCCCCGTGGGCAGCAGGGCAAGGAGGGGATTCTGCCCCTCTGCTCTGCTCTGTTGAGACCCCACCTGCAGTGCTGCATCAGCTCTGGGGTCCCAGCACAGGAAGGACAGGGACCTGCTGGGGTGAGTCCAGAGATGATCAGAGGGATGGAGCACCTCTCCTATGATCAAAGACTGAGAGAGTTGGGGCTGTTCAGCATGGAGAAGGTCCTAACCCTGGACAAATTCTCTTAGCCTTACATGGAATTCAGGATTTAGCCATGAGTTCAGGATTTAGCTGTTCTCTGAAACATGACATATTTGAAAGATGGCTTTCACTTTATAGCAAATGCTACTGATAATCACATTCAAAAATTCTCTAAGAGTAATGGATTCAGAACTTGTTTGCAGCTCATTATCAAGTACCCAATCATGACATCCATAATCAATCTTAGTAATACCTTAATTGAGTAGTCCCGTCCAGATGAGAAATCCCTCTGACCTCAGTGGAACAGAGTGAATAGTAAGGTGCTACCTACTTTGATTAAAAGTGGCATAACTGAGGCCGTGATTTTCTGTATTTTGCACATCAGACATAGATTTGACGAAGGAACTACTACCCCTGTAATTATGCTGCCTTGTATTGTATGGTGGTGCATCGTGGTCACAAAGCAGCACAGCCCTGTCATAAACTGAAGGCTGCACCTGCCCTGGGATATCTGTGATAGGAATGACCTTGTAGCAACCTTTCAGAACCTTAAAAGAACCACAGGACAGCTATAGAGGAACTTTTTACTAAGGCTTGTAGTGATAGGACAAAGGGTGAAGGCTTTAAACTGAAAGAGGACAGGATTAGGTTAGTTATTAGGAAGAATCTCTTTCCTGGGAGGGTGGTGAGGCACTGAAACAGGTTGCCTGAGAAGCTATGAATGCCCCGTCCCTGGCAGTGTCTAAGGCCAGGTTGGATGGGGCTCTGAGCAACCTGAGATAGGGTAAGGTGTCCCTGCCCATGGCAGGGGGGTTGGAAATGGATGATCTTTAGGTCCCTCTCAACCCAAACTGTTCTATACTTCTATGTACTGGCACTCACAGGTTTTAAGCTACTTGCCTTGCATGCTAAATCACTCTCTGTTTGTGTCTCACTGAACTTGAGACCTTTTCTGGACATGGTGTGTGAGACCAGAAGCCTTTGGCCTCAGGGGCTTTGGGGACATGTAAGGTCATTTCTTGAGCTACTTGGCTGTATTATTGTGCTTGTTATAATGTTACAGTGCTATTGCTCATGGGTTTACTGATCCTGCTCTAACACTTCATTTTTTGCAGGATCTGGCCTAGTGCTGTCCTGTGGGTCAAACTCCTTTGGACAACTGGGACTTCCTCAAATTTCAGGCCCATGCTTGATTCCACAAAAGATTGAGGTAAAGGTTTAGAAGGTGGTGTGCTTTTTATTGCTTCCAGAAATTTACAGAGGTCATCTGACCTCAATGGACTTTAAGCCAGACTCTTTAGCTAATTTTTTATAGTGCCTATCTTCTACAGATAAGCTTATAAAGTAAAGGCCCAAAGGTGAATTGAAAGGCTAAGGCTGCTTTTCTTGCTGTATGAAGAACTTTCCCACTTCTAACAGAAAGCTGACTCTTTCACTTCGCAGACAAGAAATTATTTAGTATCATGGCTCATGCCAGATATTCCTTTGTTGTTTTTTTCACTGTAAGAGAAGGAGGGCAGCTGATCCCTTAGGTGAGCTCTAGTGAGTAGGAGTTAGTTCACTTGATGTTTCTGTACCCTTGATGTTTCCTGAGAGCATCCATTGCAGTATGGTGTCTTAAAATTTGGTAGTATTGACAGTGCTGATGTGAATCTCTCTCATCCCTCACCAAACAAACTGTTCATGCTGAATATTTGCTCTTTTGGTTGGTATCCCTTAAATTCTTGGGCTTGATGCCACCTATTTTAAATACACCTGCTGCTTTTCCACCAAGGATAGGTATCCAGGGGGTCTGCAAAACCCTGCTAAGAGCAAGACAGGATGGGATGGGAGATAACAGAAGGGGGAAACTTCACATTGTTCCTGAGGTCTATTGCTGTGGAGGGAAACTTTCAGGCTTTCTCAGTGGAAAACAAAATTCCATCAATAACTTGGCAAGACTGAACAGCTTAATGCAACATAGTACTTGCTAACCACCAGAATTTACTGTGGATGTTTACTGTGGTGTAATTCTTGAGGAACACTGAGTTAAGATTGAGAAATAAACATATTTGTATCACCAGCATTTCTTCTTTCATATGGATATTTTGACTGTGTTTTTTTATTTATTGCCAAAACTCTGTACATCCAGTTGCTTGGCTGACTTATTTTTTATTTCTTGAAGATGTTCCCACTAACTTTTATTGGTCAAAATTTACTTTGTGATACAAAATGGTGATATGCTTTGGGACATGCAGGTTGGAATTGTGAGCACTATTTTTGTAGTGTTCCACTTCTGCTTGGCCTGTTTTGTTTTCAGAGGCACAAAATGCAAAAAGCAACTAAATTATAATTTTCTTTTATTTGTGTAGTCTCTCAAAGAGAAGGTGGTGCATATTGCTGCAGGACTGAGACATGCCCTTGCTGCTACAGGTAAGTATGTCATAATTTTAACATATTTTCAGTAACAAATGAAATGGGATTTTAATGTCTTGGAGGAGGAGAGGAAGGAAAAGATGAAATTTATCTAATCTACTATTTATTTCAAATATCACGGGGAAAATACACCTTAAAGTCATGGATTGTAAGACTTTGGGACAAATTAACATGAATAGTAAACATTCTAGAACCATCTTCCCGGAAAATCATGAGGGAAAACTTCTTCCAAGAATTCAGAGTGACAGTTCATTAACATGTTAATTTTCTGATGGATGGAAAATGTACTGATTTCTTTTTTCTTATTCTGAAACAAAACATAAAAGGATTTTTTTTCAGGAAAAAGAGTTTCTGGTCAATCAATGTATTTTAGGATTTGAACTCATTATAGTATGCAAAGTAATTTAAGTTTTTATAAGATACTTCAAAATGGAGCTGCACATAAACTGTGTCTTTTTGAATGATGTAATTGAAATTTACACCTGGAAAATCACAAGAATGAAACTAAAAATTTCTCCTACTGTAATTAGACACTGACTTTTTCATGGTGTAACAGTAGAAATCAAACCCTTCCTTTTTCCTGAGGAAAAACAAACTATACCTGCTCTTGTATTTGGTCTAGTTTTGTGTGAACCTCAGTATGGGTTCCAGGTAGTGGAGCTGAAGGTGTACAGGAGATACTTGGAAGAACAGTGGGATCTCTGGTGCTTGTGTGAGCAGTAGGAATTGAGATTCCCTGTGCTGCACTGCGCAAACAAATTGGCATCAAGAGAGGGAAAGGGGGGAAGAGAAAGTACAAGAACTTTGTATCCTTTCCTGAGGTACTGCAATCACAGGATTTCTCCTACTGAGTCTCTAACAGCTTCCTACCTTCTTAGTTTTCTTACATGTAGACTGAGACTGTTGCTTGTTGACTTTACCAGGGTTATCTGAATGTTTTTTGGCATAAAGGTCTTTTAAAGTGTAATTTGAGTCAGTGAAAATTACTTGGATGAATGACTGTTCATTAACATGTGGAATGGTTTTCGTTGGTGGTTGATTTGTTTTAATCTCTTTTCTTTGTGTTTACTCTGAAAAGACAGTGGTTTGGTGCTGCAGTGGGGAACTGGGATGGCATCTCAGGCAAAGCGTGCAAGCCAAGGAAAAGCCCTCCCTCTCTTCTTGACAGCAAAGGAGCCCTGTGAAGTGTCAGGTAATCCAGGAATCTGCTTCCTTTGTGTGGGTTGATAGAGCAGAAATACAATTTGGAGTGTTATGAATCTTCCTTTTTATATGGCCATGTGGTACTGCAAACATGTAGTGCAGTACCTGAAGGATAGAATGGTTATAGAAAATCGTGATCTGTGGGGAAAATGAGAGTCCTGCCATGTCTGTGGCGCAAAGGCAGAGCCTTTTATTATAAAAGTCGTCACCATCCTGTTACACTTTTATGCATGTTTGTGTGTGAATTGATACCTGCTGTAGAAATTTTATTGTGACTATGTTTTTTCTAGGCCTGGAAGATGTAAATGTGAAGGAAGTTGCTGCAGGCTCCTATCATTCCGTGTCCCTCACAGGTAGGCCTCAGGTACAGAGGTGAAAGTCCTCATCTCACCCTTCAAAGCTTTCTCTGCTTTTGAAATGTTCTCAGGTTTGGTAAAATCGGTGAAATTTGATCTGCCCTAGTTAGTGCTCGTAATTCTTTTGTAACAGTTTTGCACTCTGAGAACTTTCCTTTTGTTTTAAGAACTGGACTCACGTTTCGAGTTCTCTGAATTTTGTGTGTTTTTCTTTGTGCGTCTTTTCTAAGGTGGGGTCTTAGCCTTATGTAATTCAGGGCCTGGACTCTTAATGGCTAGAAACTCTGTAAGGATTTGTAAGTCTCTGGAGCTGCAGCAGGATGCCCTCTAGGGGTAACTGGTTACTGCTGGAAGCAGTGCAACCCTTTGCCCACGGAGAAGAGGTGTGCTGGGTGGTTGTCCCAGGAAAGGCAGCAGAAAGAAAGAAAAGCAGAAAGGCAGCAGAAGGTAGCCACAGCAAGATGACCTAATGCCTCTGTGTGGGGCAGTGCAGGGGTGTGAAAAGGCCTGGAGCTATCTTAGGCTCCACTGTGACAGTGTGCAGATGTGTGGTGTAAGGGCACAAAGTTTATTTGAAGAGTAGAAAGTTGCTTTAATTGGTTAGGCACTTCCATAATATCTGCCATTTGTTCTTTGATCCTCAGGCAGTGCTCCCATGCTGGAGTACTGGGTATCTAGTAATGAAAGTCTAATAAAGATTTCTTTTTATTTTGACAGATTGGGAGAAGGGGAAACAGAATAGCTTTCATGTTGTAATCTTACAGTTTTGAAGTGTGTAAAATATATTGAACCTTATGAAGACAAGTCTTTGCCAAACTTCACAGGAACAAGTTCTTAGCAAATCTGCAGCCATCTGGTACCTCTGTCATCATTAAAGGAGCACTGGAGTATTTGCTTATGCAGATCTATAGAGATTTAGTTGTATGGGGAGATGTTCCAAGATGTAAATTGTATTGAGTTCAGAGATGCAAAGTGTATGCAAGATTAGTGAAGACAAACTGTAAGAACAAATAAAATCTACTTTAGATAATTGGCACTCTCTATTTAGACAGTGAACAGATTATTCTTTCATGCTTCTACTTTTTATTTAAGAGAGCGATCTATTTGGCAGCTATGGGAGCAAGACTGACAAAATAAATGCCAAATACTTATGTAATGTGATGCTGTTGCTGCCCTTTGTCCTGCAAGATAGTTATTACTTAAAATATTTTGTATTTTTGAGATGCTTGGTATAATAAATATACTACTGCAGGGTATAATATTTAAATGGGTCTTTTTTTTTCTAGGAATGCCTTTTACTGTGGTGGAGTTTTCTCTGCCTCTGTTCCATGAGTCACCTGCTGATGGGATATCAAATACCTACAGCCAGGCAGGTTTGGGATACAGCTGTTGATGTGGGCTGTTATAAACATAATGTGGTTCCTTGGAAAAAAGGATGTTAGAGTCTACTGGTATCCAAACTGGCCTGAACCCTCCAGGGGTGAGAATATGATGCTAAGTCTCAGTGTCTAAGTTTCTGTTCAAACCTACTCAAGAAATAAGGGTCGAGCATGTGACTTTTCCCAGGATAAAGCAAATACACTGTAAAAGCAGGTGACAGAGGCAGTGCAAGTTAATGTGGATTATGAATGGCCACATTGTTTTTCTTTGTTGTGTTTCTGTCACCTCTGTTTTTAGTTTTATTTTTTTTTCTCCCCTCTCTCTAGAGAGTGTGTGTACTTCATGCTGGGAAGGAGAATTTATCAATCTTAGTGGAGAATTCAAATATTTGAAAGAAACAATTGCTTGACTTTTTCCCCTTTTCAGTTGTGTTGTTTTAAACAGGCACATGGGAAGTCCTGCAGATGACTTCCAGTACTGGCTTCTGCACCCACTCCCACTCCTTGCCTGTTTTTCAACAGCAGTAATATAGTGGACTTCTCCTGGCTTACTCTTTCTGTTGCTGTTACCAAACGGAGATTATTAAATATCCTGTAGCCTAAGTTCTACGTAGAAAGATTTACTTCTGCCATGGTGCTTGTAATGAGTTCAGTGCTGACCTGAGACATCCTGATGCCTCGAGTGTTGCGGATGTGTGCTCCAAACAATTCCATGTAGCTTACATGACTTCCAGTCTTTCTGGGCCTACAACAATGTGCAAGATCATGTGTGCAAGATTTATTTCTTATGCTTCCAGCTTGTGCAGGCTGGCAAAGACTTCAGGGAGGCCTGACACCATGTGTTCCCTTTAAGTGTTTTTTTTTTTTTTTTTACTGTGGAGGCCTAGGACTTGGGAGGAATGGTTTTGTCCTGAAAAGATGAAGCTAATTATATGTGATGTCTGCAGAAGGACTCATCTGCGCAGTCGCTATGTCCATGTCCATTGGCTGTGAGCTACTCCATCTTGCATTGATATAAAGTACTGTGGGTATTTCTGTAAAAAGATTCATCCCTGTGGCTGGAATCCTGGAGTGCGCATTTGAACAAATGCTTGTTCTAGAAAAGGGGTGGAGAAAACATGGGAGTGCTAATGAAAGTCTCAAGTGTTGTCTGGCATGATAATGTTTTAATTTTGCCTTATGATGGGTGATGCCTGCTTTAGTAGTGTTTTTGTAACTGTATGTCCAATTCCTTTAGGAAGTGACTGTGCAAGGTGAGTCAAGGAGCACTGGACTGTCCCTGCTTTGGGGGATTTACTGAATTTGCTCAAGCTGAAGGAGGCAGAACTGGTATGAGCAGAGCTGGGAGTCTAGTTCTTGTAGAGAGGCTGGGAGACTAAAGCAGAGCAGAAGCAGCCAGCCAGAATTTGAATTATTTGCTGCAGTCCAGAAAGTTATTTACTGGATATAATCAAAGCTTTGGAGTGGAAATAATAGCTGGTCTGCAAGGACAGGGTGGATGGAGAGGAACTGCTCAGTTAATGTCTCCAAGATGCTTTGATTTTCTTTTATTCAGAGAAATTGACTACTGTGGTTAGTTTTTTAATAAGAATTAGTCTTTGTTATAAACATCTATGCAGTTTGACCTGAAAACTCTAGTTGCTTCAGGGAGTCTGTGTAGCCCTCAGAAAATAGGCCGTGTTGTTAAGGCCCTTGCAAATATTTCTGATATCCCAGTTGGAATGGTAAAGAATGGTAGGGAAAAGCATAATGTGAGAACACAAATTGAATGATATGTTCTTTCCTCAGCATCACTGAACTGAGACAGAGCCTGAATCTGGTGGTATTAGATCTATATCCCTTTAAAGAGATTTTACTTCTCTGTCTTGTAGATGAAGGACACCTATTTGTCTGGGGCAGCAACAAACATGGGCAGCTGGTGAGTGGAGACATCTTTCTTGCTGAGCCCAAGAAGATAGACACCCAGTGTTTCTCACATGAAAAGATTGGAGCAGTTTGGAGCGGCTGGACCCACCTGGTGGCACAGACAGGTAGGATATTTAAAAAGCAGTAACATATGGCACCCAAACAGTAAATTGTAAGTTGTCTGTTGCAGGCAGCCAGTGTTCTTTTTCACTGATAGTGGCTGGACACACAGTGTTGCAGTTTCACTCAGGTTTGATTGAAAAACAGTGAGGACAGAAATCCCTTTGGCTGCTCTTTTTGTAGGGCATTAAGGGCAACAAAAATAATGTATTCAAAAGAAAATCAGTAAACTAAAATAAGCTGTCTTATGTGCGTGTTTGTGGTCAAACCCAGAAAATATTTAGAAAAGGCAAGTAAAAAGGGGCATCATTACACTTGAAGAGCATTCTCTGAAGATGAAAACGAAAACAGATTTCATGTTGAAGCTGTACCTTCCTGGGAATCTTTGTGATGAGAACAATGTGGAAGCTGCCAGGTGTGGAGGGCTGTAGGGTTAGATTCTTACCTAGGAGGAGATGAGAGGAAGATTATATAATGGTGATATTCATGTGTAAAGGGACGGTTGATCTGGTGAAGCTCATCAGAGTGTGAAATGCAAAGGCAGGAGGGAAAGGTAGATGAAATGGAAAGGCAAGATGGGCATCTGAAGCTGTTTTGTGGTGTTTGTATTCTTTGCTTCTCCTGTTGCAGTGTGTGGTGCCATAGTTAAGGCTAACAAGAGGGTGGAAATCTTCCACAGAGGAAAAGGAACAGCCAGAGCTATGATGTGTGACTGGAAAAACAAATCGGTTGTTTTCTGTTTCACAGCATTCATTGTTTGACAGTGAAATATATCTCAAAGTATGTGAGTATGTGAGAGAAGTGTGTAAAAAATCTTCATCAGCTGCTCCTTCAGCTGAAATGTCTGAACTCTGCTTTTTAGAGGAGGCTAGTCTGAAAATTTCAAAGCTGCAGCCAATACTATGAGCTGCTTGGAAACTTTTCAGGCGCAGTAAAAGAATTTATCTCAAAATCTGTAGTTCTTGCATTAAGTGCTTGACGTCACCCTCACTGAAACAGAAATGGTAGAAAGAAGCCATTAGTCAGGATAACTTGATTTTTAAAGAGTGAGTCTTGACAACTTGGTTTGCTTTCCTTCACTATTTCTTAATAGAGCATACCCACTAAATAAAATTTTCCACGAATTTTAGTAACTTCAGTGTTTCACTTACTTGATACCTTATCTGTAGGTATTACTGACATGGAGTATTTCAGTAGGTGTTTTTATACAACAACAAAAAGGGTGTAGAGTGACTACCAGGGGTGTTTTGCTGCTGAATGTTTAAAAAGAATTTATATAAAAATAGGCTGACTTCCTACGTCTGCATTAGAAAACTGGCCAAGTGATACAGTGGCACAAGTTATTGCTGAAACTGTATTTTATATATTTAGAATTTTAAATCTCTTTGAAGAGCAGTGGACCTGAACCTAAATCATCTGGAATAAAATTTTGAATGGCCTTTGGCAGCCTCCAGACACCAGTCAGCATCCTGTGGGAATTTCAAGGTTGTTCAGCTACTAGATATAGTGTGAGCTGAAGCACTTAACTCTTTCTGGAAAATCATTTGCTGCATTAAACTTGCAGCTGAAGAAGTGAAAAATGCAGCCCACTTGAGACCTGTCCCCTGCATGCAGTTCTCCCTACCAGTATTTTTACCTCCTTCTAGTAAAGGAGGAAAAGTTAGTTTAGTTTCTTGGTGCTGAAGTCATAAACCAGTGATTCCCAAATGTTATGGATCAGTAAAGTCTTTTTTGAGCATGCAGCCCCCAGTATACTTATTTATTTATAAATTATAGATATATTATGTTCTAATATTCAAACTATAAAATATGTACAATAGAAATTTTACAAAGGATGAGATAAAGATAAACGCTACTTAAAATATTACTTTATTAAATAATTAAAACCATTAATAATTTATTAATAAATTAAAATATTTATATGTAATTTTCATCCTGCCCTCCAGTGGATTATCTTGTGAAAACCTAGGGCTGCATGTACTTCAATTTAGAAATATTGATACAAACATTTCCTGCTTGCTTTACTCTGGGGAGTTCCCCAATTAGTGAAAAGGAGGCAAAATGAGTGATTTTTGGACACAGGAAAATGTAAAGAAGAGATATTCTAGTATGATGCTTCTCTGCTCATTGTGGAAGATAAAAACGTACTTTTGAAAGACATTGCAGCATACAGGGATTTTGCTGGATGAAAGAATAAGTTTTTTCTAATTAATAATCTTACCACAATGCAAAATTTAGTAGTTTAAAATTTGTTACTGTACCTGAATTCTCATGCAGTGTTTTCTGCAGAAGGTAGTTGAATTTTAAGAGGCTGTTACAAATACTTAGAGATCTGTTTGAATTTTATTTTCCAGAACATTAGTCCTGGTCAGAGTAGTAATAATAAAAAACTTGTTATTGCAGCTGTCTTCACAGTAACTCAAAACTCTTCTCATTGGAAAGACACAGGAAGGAACTAAGTGGATAAACATTGGACACAAATGCATAAATTCACAAATTCTGCTATTTCAAAATGACATTTTGATCTTTATTTGCCAGGTGAGCAGTGCTTGGCTGTAGAACTAATGAAAGAGTGAAAAGTAAATGAGAGAGTGATGTTATTAAAAGCAGTTGTCTGGAGGAACAGTTGCCAGTTTCATGGTTGCAATGGTTTGACAATTTTAAAGTGAGTCCAAGCAAGTTATCAAGTTTGTTATCAGAAAAAAGGAACACAGCATAAATATTTTTGTCTTCTGTCTTTCCCTCTTATGTAAGCTGGCCTGTTTTAAGACTTGCTTTGTTTTTCCTTCATGCTGCTGGCAAAATTTGGTACAGTGACATAAAAGCAAAGCACACAAGTAATTTTAATTTCTTCCCCATTATCTCTTTACAAGGGATTTTAATTGCACCTGAAATCACTTTAATGCCTGCATCTCCTTCGTATCCTGTGTTCCATCTCATTCAGCAGAGGTTTCCTGTGATTTCTTTTTAGAGTTCAACTCTTTTTTTCATTTGCTGTTGTTTATATCATAAAGCAGTTTGGATTCAAGACATTAATTCCTGAGAAATTAATTCCTTGACTTAAAGGTGTTCAGGAATGTTTTCACGAGATGTTGTATTTTTAATCCTTACCTTTAACTGATCCTCATCAGCTTCAATTCCTTATTCTTTTTATTATAGAGATATCTTTTGGGGCTATTTCCACTGTACACACTCTTACTGTAAAATAACTCACAGAACCCTTCAGGACAGACGAGTGCTTTCTTTTCCTGCTCTGATTACTGTTTTCTACAGAGGAGGGAAGCACAGTTAGACTTCATGGCATCACCAGTACCTTTCAAAGTAAGTTATATTATTCTGATAGCAGACGTGGTCCTAGTTTATGATGGTTGGTCCAAAAAGATGAAGGTTGAGAAGCCTTGGTTCCTCTTCGATCAGGTCTCTGATGATGAGATATGAACTTGCTGGTGTCTTTGTTTTATCTCCTATTTTCTCTGTGAATGCTTGTGTCAAGTGACTCTCAGGAATGCTTTTCACTGATGGCAGGGCAGTGCTGTTGCTGCTCCATGTGAAGGACAGAACCAGGTGCATTCTTGTGGCCTTGAACTATTCAAGTACAAGTGCTGTTCTCTTCAGACAGCCCCTCTGCACAAGGTTTGCTTCCTATCCAGCACTCTGCTTAATGGTACTAGGAGCACCACTGCAATATAGGTGATACTATTTTTGAATAATGAGCAGCTGTCATGCATTGCCTTCCTTAATGTCAGCTTTAATTTGTGGTCCCTTTCAAGTTAATGCAAACTCTTTGAGGGTAACTGCTGAAAGAGAGGTTATTGCATAGGTCATTTAAAAGAGAGCTAAGCTATGACCTGTAACGTTGAAGATGTAAATTAGTGTACTTTGGGGAATGATAGAACTAGTCTGACTTCAAGGCAAACCTAAATATAGGAAGAGAGGTATTTTAAAGATGTAGAGGTGAATCATCAACTTCCATTCAAAACAAGATGTTTTCTTTTTAACTGGGATGCCTAATAAATAACCTTCCTTAATCTGGCCTGGATTATTATCTGTGTATTCTCCTGAATACATTCCCTAATCCCTTTGTCACATAGTGTCACATGAAGTTATGCTTTGTTTGAGCTCAGATAAAGAATTCCAAGCTCTTTCACTCAGAAAGTTACTTCAAAAATGCAGTTAAAATTGTGTTTCTGCTGCCTGTGCAAAACTGCCTACAGCTAAAAAGTCTTGGAAGAACAAAATGCCATGACATAGTCTGAATAATATTCTGAATCCTCATTCCAAATGTGCATCTGAATTTGTGCATCTTTGAATGTCCCTTGATGTCATGTCATTTAGGCCACATAAAACTACTCTGAAGGGGTCTGACATGCTAGTGACCTACAGAGTAAAATATAAACCATCTCGTGTGTTTTTCTGAAGCAAATGACAGTGTGTCCCTCCAAGCACCAGGAACAGAATGAGAGAATATTTCTAATGATCTTGTTTCAGTCATTAACCTTTAGCATTTCAGTCTCTCACAGAAGCTGTAGTTGCACTTCTAGGTGCCTTTTCTGATGGCAGTCACAAGGTAAAGCTATTGGGCTTTGCTGGCAAGTTGTGCACCTGCAGGGAGGTGAAGGGGAAGGACATGTCTAGCACCCGAGCAGCACAGCCTCAGCCCACTAGAGGTCCTTTCCAGTTTGCTCTTGAATCCAGACTCTGCAGCCTTCCTCTGGAAAGCAAACTTTCTCTACCTTGAATTTTTCAGCAGCTCCCTAGGACAGCAGATACATTTGTGTATCTGTATATACATCATACATATTTTTTTGTTCTAATGCTTGTCTCTTTTTAGACATGGCAGCCGAGAGTTTGAAGCTGGAGCCCTACATGAGGTAGCTGTATTTCATTGGAAGGATGATGGGTTTTGGGAATACAGGTAAAATACTAAAATGTAGCTTAATCAAAACCTCCAAATTGATAGGTACCTCTGAACCTCTTTGAAGCAGAACTTGGGTTCAAGAAATGA